AGCCTGTCTCCATCTCTGCCACATCGGGAGGGAAGTCCAGGACCAGTGACAAAGGGAGAGAGCCGGACACTACTTTGCTCAGCTCTTCTGAAGATCAGAGCATCGTGACGAAATTTAAATAAATCAGAGGGACCGCACCAGGATGCTGCGTCTGGAGCTGGCTTACTGAGGAAGAAGAAACGGAAGAATTCTGGCCCCGGGGGCAGCGGCTGCAGGCAGCTTCCCTGCTGACGGTGTGACAGGCCTCACTCAGTTACGCGTTCATGATGCTGGGTCACAGGAGTTAACTGGGCTGTGCTTCTAGCTGCACAAATGCCCTTACTATCTGCCTGTTTGGAAAACTTGATTCTCCAATATTCTCCGAAAGTCTATGAGCTACTCAATTTTCAACCAAGAACCTTCTTTTCTGCTTACATCAGTAAGAGTCAGTTTCTCTTGCTTGCAGTTCAAAATCCTAACTGACATAATGTGAACGATGCTACTCTGGGGGGAACATTGTGGGGAGATGGAGCATTAAAATAATGGTATTGGTTTTATTAGACATCTCTCAAGATGGCAACAAGTGAAAATCCAATTAAAAGAAGCTCCAAAAACATTTCAAGAAGCTGGCAGCCATCATTGGAGCAAATGCCAAGCGTTCCAAGGTGATTACGTTGAGGGAGGTGGTATTGCTTGGATAGATATCTAAAAGAGGACATGTGGTGATAACTTGTTAAATCATATGTGCAATGTAATGATGGAAAGTCTAGCCTGCACAATGAAGCATATTAGATAGATTATTTAAGCTTGCTCAGTAAATGTAAACAGTGTACATACACATGGCTTTACAAGTGTTCAGGTTTATGTATTATTCCCTTTTCCTATATAGTAAGTCTCCTACCTACAAACGAGTTCTGCTCCAAGAGCAAGTTTGTAAGTCCAATTTGTTTGTAAGCCCAACAAAGTTAGCCTAGGTACCCAGCTAACACAATCAACTACAGTACTGTACTGCAATAGGTTTATAATACTTTTCATGCTAGCAATACATGAAAAGCATGCACAAAAATAAAGAAAACATTTTACATCTGACACTATAGTACCTTGAACAGTAGGATGAGCCACGTCACTGCTGCTTTTACGCTTGCTTCAGGACCTCCTGGGCTTGAAATAAAGATGCTGTACTTTTGTACTGTATGCAGTACCATAAAGTACACAAAAGCACAACACTGGTAGAAGATGCATGCGTGGGACAATGTGTGTCAGACACCTGGACTAACTTACATGACTGGACATGTGAACACATGCTCACGTCTTCGAAAGCTTGCAACTTGAAGATTTGTATGTAGGGAGCTTACTGTATTATATATATATTGCCTTTACAGGTAACTAAAGCCACAGGTCTGCAAGAAGTACATATCACTTACAGAATATTCCTCAATGTTTTTTTATTTTTTTAGCTGTTGCATAATAAATAATTTATCTGCTGACATTGAGATAAAGTGTCATCTCTTCCATGAAGACGTCTTCGTTCATTCTTTCCTTTCCTATCCGGTTTTTTTTTTTTTTTTCTTGCTTAAAACATCACTGACACACTCGATATTTTTCTAAGAGGTAATGGTTTGGAGTTTCACAGCTGTATTTGGAATCCATCTCTACCCAGTCTGTGACCTTGGGCAAGTCACTTATCTATTCTGACTCCTAATTTCCCCTCCAATCGGGAGAAGATATAGGACAAGTTCACGGGGAGGGTACATAGTTAGATGCAGGTTATTATCAAGATTCCACTTTGTTTTGTTTGAAGCTTTTGCAAGCACTGTTTACATATTTTAAATAATTAATTAACCCACTGCATAACTAAATCAAACTGAGCCATACAAAGACCAATTATAAGAATGTATAATGAACTAAGGATTTTGATGTATCCAATTCTGCATACCCGAGCCCTCCCTGTATAACAAACCAATGCAAAATGTTGTCAGGTAACCAAGTTTAGTAAGTGACCAGTCTTCTTGGGAATGCTGAAGAATCCCTTGATTCAGAAAGTACATTCACTAAGCAGAGATCCCATGTCTACTCTTATAGTAAATGTATATTGAGAGAATCCATTTTCTATCCCAGATCTAGTGATTCAATGTGCCTGCTCAGTTCAGAAATGCATCGCCTACTGTAAAACAAACATTCAGAAGTTTAAATATACTATCTGGAACAGAAATAGAATGGGTGTTGTTAATTGAAGTATCTGAGTTGTCATTTTATGAATATTTTAGTTCTGTTATAAATTACTCACTTCTTCAGATGTCAGCTTTCTTCCCCCAACCCTTCCAGGCCCCAGAACATCTCTAAGTCTAGTAAATAATTAAAGGGTTATCAGAAAAAGTCAAAAGGAATTTGACATCAGGATATTTCATGATGGATAGTGTTAAAGGTCCCCACAAATAATGTCTCTTGGTTAACTAGTATCAGAGGAATCACTGCCAGCACCTGTCAGTGAAGACAGGGTCCCGAGTCCCTCCTCACGGGCGATGCTGTGGTGCAGTCAGAGCTGCCGTCTCACAGCTCACACATGACAGCGGGGTCTCAGCAAGGCTCTGTTCGGAAGGCCGCCCACATAGATGACGTGGGCCTCTGGCTCCTGTCCTCCCAAGTCTCCAAGTCTTGGTCCCAATATCATGCCACTCATGGAAAAGTGCAGCTATTAATCCTGCTAACCTCAGTTTGCCGCTCCAGTCCTGCCCTCGGGACAGCTGAGCCAAAGCAGGCCGGCAAAATGTAAAGAGTGCTCCAGATATCAATAAAGGTGACAAAAAACAAAAAAAGATAAGGACGGGAAAAATGCAGCCAGATGGAAAAGAACCCTGCAAGAAAAACCAGCCCATGATGGCCAACAGAACTCAACAGGAAGCTCTTCCATGTTCATAACTGTGAACATTCATTAATGAGTGTTCATAAAATAAATTTGAAAAATGAAATTTCAAGAAATCATTCAAATAAGTAAAGTAAAAATGTGCTATTAATGAATAAATCTGCATTTATAAAAGCGAGTGGTTGGAAAGAATCTGTGTCAACTCTGATATATACCTGTTATACAATGGTCAGCTTGGATTGTTTTGCTAAAGATATTTCTTAATAAGATGCCCCAATGGTATGATTCTGGTGCAGCTGGAGAATAGCTCAAGCAACAGGTACACATTTATCAGTATAAGCCCATGGTTTATCAAATCATTTAATAGCAACATGTGTTTTGTGTAATGTTACAAATATAGTGCAAGCAGTAGTGCAGATGAGAACTTTTTTAATCTATCAATAACCAGTATAAAAAGATAAACCACACAGCAGCTACTGTCCTGACCCATGGGAACCCCTAAGAATACAATGAACTAAGTCAGAACTGTTTATTGAACATCCAGCTGCTATTTTGTGCAACCAATCATGGTTTTGAATTAAGAAGTCTTTTTGCTCCACCTCAAAGGTATAAGCTCCATAAAGAATCAAAAATCTTAATTCATGGACAAATTGATTTGAAGCAAAACTTAGAGCATCTTATACCCAGCCATTTTTATTTTAATATTTCATCTTTTAGTGCAAATAGAATGAAGTTGTACATTGTTCAGGATTTGTATGTTATGACTTCTAACGGCAATTTCAACTTTCTCTTTTTTTATCTTACATTTAAAGTTTTATTTTTCACTTTTCTTCCACAACTCATATAAGCTTTATTTCCAGCTGTACTGAGATTTTATTGACATATAACATATATGTGTAAGGTATACAGTGTGGTGATTTTGATCCACCTGTATATTGCAAAATGATCACTACAATAAGGTTAATTAACAGCCCCATTCATTCTCTCACATAATTACCAATTTGTGTGTGTGTGGTAACCATAATTCAAAAAGACACATGCACCCCAATGTTCATTGCAGCACTGTGTAAAATAGCCAGGACAGGAAAGCAACCTAAATGTCCACCCACAGAGGAAAGGATAAAGAAGATGGGATACATATATACAGTGGGATATTACTCAACCATAAAAAGGAACAAAACTGGGTCCTTTGTAGAGACAAGGATGGACTTGGAGTCTATCATACACGTAAGTCAGAAAGAGAAAAACAAATATCATATATTAATGCATTTAAGGGAAATGTGAAAAAAAATGGGATAGACGATCTCATTTACAAAACAGAAGCAGAGACACAGATGAAGAGAACAAGCACACGGATCAGGCGGAAAGCGGGCAGGGTGAACTGGGGGCTGGAGTCGGCGCGTGCGCACTGGTGACACCATGTATAAAGCAGATAACGGATGAGAAGCTGTAGAACAGCATAGCGAAATCCACTCAGCGCTCCGCGGTGACCCAAACGGGGAGGAGATCCAGGGCAGAGGGCAAGGACGCATAGGTACGGCTGGTCCACCTTGCCCTGCGGCAGAAGCGAACAGCGCACCGTAAGGCAGCTATACTCCAACACCAAGTTTCACAAAATCCACTCTCAACTTTCAAGTGTACAGTTTGCTCTTGCTGTTCAATCAGTAAGCAGTGTCCAACTCTTCTGCGACCCCGCGGACGGTAGCCCGCCAGGCTCCTCCGTCCACGGGGTTTCCCAGGCAGGAAGCCTGCAGCGGGTTGCCACTTCCTCCTCCGGGAGATCTTCCTGCGTCCCCGCGTTGGCAGGTGGGTACTTTACCACTGAGCCGCCGGGGAAGCCCCAGGTACACAGCACAGCGTCGCTAATTACAGTCGCCAAGCTGCCCGTGAGATCCCCAGGGCCTAGTCATCGGAGCCAGGAGCGTGTGCGCTTCGGCTGACATCTCCCTGCCCCCCAACCCTCTGCCCCAGCAACCGCCACTCCACCCCGTTTCACAAAGGCGGCCCTGAGGACTCCGCATTTGGTGAGGGCATACAGGGTTTCGTTCCCTCTGTCGGGCTTATTTCACTGGGTATAATATCAAGTTCCATCCACGCTGCTGTGAAAGGCAGGATTCCCTTCTCCGTGGCTGAGCGGTGTTTCATTATTTACATCTACCGCAGTCTCTTCATGCACTCATCTGTGGGTGGCATTTCAGTACTCTCCACCTTCTGGCGGGATTCGGTAACCGAGGAAGAACTGACTCGGCCTGACAAGGAGTTTGAGTAACAAGGGGCCTCTGAGTCGGCACTGATGCCCCAGCGCAAATAGATGAGCAGCGGCTGCATCGCTGCCCCTGGCCTCTGACGCCCCAGAAGTCAAGTTCCGTCCCAACACTGCATCAGGCACAGAGAGAGGACCATTAACGCTCTTCTTCCCCGTGCTCGGTCCAATCGGACAGTATTGCTCCAGACAATAAATACATAAGTTTCTCATAGAATAAGAAACAGATAGGAAGGTTATTATTGCCCTGCGGCCTAAAAAATTGGTTTGGTTCACATATGTTTCCAATAGGATCTTTAATTAAGATGCTTGTCCTATCAGTGTGCTTTAGCAATTACCTATACTGATGATGGGCTGTTGTTTTCCTGGCAAGGTAATAGAGAATCTCACTGCGGTGTCTTAAGAAGTCACTTCTAGAATACTTTCTGCCTTTTGAATTTTTTTCTGTGACAAATTTACCTAAATGGCTTGCTACTTATCAACTCCTTGCTTAAATAAGAATGAATTGGAGAGAACACTTGAAAAATATTTGAGGATAAATGTAATTGGGCTAAAGACTTCTATTTTTTAAGAACTCAGAGAAGTCATTCAGTAATTCAGCAGAAAGATACTAAGGGCCTCGTAAGCATCAGTCATAGGACTCGGATGTTATGAATCATGAGTAAGATGGTTTATCTGCTGAAGGGGAGCTTCGAAGTTAAAGTGACAGATATGGGCCCACTTGCATGGAACCCGGTCTAAGACTAAAAAATAATAATGGCATTAAAAGCTCATTTTCAGTGGATGCACTAGGCAGCTGAGGGTCTGGCTGAGTCACCCTGGTAAGAGAGAAGTGGCCGGGCACGTCCAGCTGAGGTCCACCAGGCAGGTTTGACCCTGAAGTGCGGGAACTGTTGCTGGCCCTCAGAAGGACCCGCTGCAACAAGGATGCCCACACACGACCAGGCCAGCAAGGGGGGCCCACTGTGCTCTGACTGTGCCAAGACGGAGGACCCCAAGGCCCACCAGAGGCAGCCTTCAGCAGTAGATACCCCAAGAATGGACCCGCCACACGTCAGAGGCCATCATCCCAGAGCAAGCACTGATGACCAAACAAAGGCCCAGGAATCTGTCTCCTCCAGCCCTCTCCCACGGCTGGCTGTTTCTGTTGAGGGTTTGGGGTCTGAGGCCTGGAGAAGAGTTTGAAAACAGCATCATCACCATTGGACCACGTTGCTTAGCAATGATGTCCAAATTTAGGAATTCATTAAAAATAACCCCCCCAGAACTGAAATTTGGTAGGTGGGGACTCATGAGAAAAGTCTACTAAGTAACAGGGAAATGTAAAAGGCTGCATTTCTTTGCACTCAAGATGAAAGTCAGTCTGGGGTATTTTGTGGCCCAACTCACTTTACCATTTGTATCCCAGCAGTTGTAAAAGCAAATTTCTATCGCCTTGAAAATGGATGGGTCCAGGGAAGCAGCGTGCCCCAGACCCAGTGCTTTGGGGTCAGTCAAATAGGGGAGCCTCTCTCTGCTTCACTTCCAAACCTCTTTTACAATTTATTTACATTAGCTTTCATTTGTATAATTTGCACACCTTTTGAAGGTCACTGCCTAGTGAAGAATTGACTAAGCTAGGTTTAAAATATTGTCTCCTGCCCCACACACACCCGCACCCGTGGGACTGTAGAATCTTTCCTTCTGACATTTGAAAGCATTAAAACAGCTCCAAGACTGAAGGAAACATTTTGCCTGTAATCTCTGAAAAGTTTAGTTGCCAAGGAGACAGAGACCTCAGCGACCAGGTAAGAAGGCTTCTGCAGTACACTCACTGGTTATTCATAAATGGGCAGGGATGCAAGGGGTGATTGGAAGGGAGAAGCAGGGTTTCCCAGCATCTTATACCTCGAGGCTCTTTTTTTATGTAATCAGAGGAAACCTAAGCTTCAAAAATGGTCCTCTTTTTTGAAAGGATTGCAATTGAGGTTCCGTACCACCTTGGCTCGCTGTTATTTCGAGTTGAAATGCAAACATTGTCCTCAGAACAGCTACTTACGAGAGAAGGAGGAATCTGAGAGGGGTCCCTTTCATTGGAGGACGCGATAAGGGACAGCTGCCCGGCAAGACTCTCTACTCTCGAGGAAGGATGTCAGGACCATCTTTCTGTAGTGGAGCTCAGAACAAAGTGAGGAGCTGGGCAGATGTGAAGAGAGTGCAATTCCGGGAAAGAGAGAAAAGGAGGTTGGGGAGTGGATGGAACAAAAATACAAGGCGGTTCAAGTTTTTTCAAGTACCTCCATCCAATCTTGCTTGTCCATGCTCAGCGGCTTCTGCTTGCTCATGTTCCTTTCACTCTTCAAAGAGTTGGTTAGAGGAGGTGAAGGTGCATGAAATCCCCCGCCGTCCCCCCCACACCCCCGCAAAACTCCCCTACTATTCCCAGCTGACCTCTTTTTGGTCAGAGAGGAAAAGAGGGTAGCGAAGGAGCTGAGAAAAGAGCCCTGTGAATCAGCTTCTCGATTAGCTCAAAGTTTATGCATACTTTAAGATGGGGTGAACGAGACTGGGTCATTTATCTAATGAATTTTAGAATGGGGCAATGAAGCAGATAGAATGTTGTATATTCTAGCAGGCTGTTTTCTAAAGCCACCATTAACAGGGCCTTACTGAAATTAGCACAGCAAGTTTGAGGGCAGAAAAGATTCCTCATCTTACCCGGCCTGCCTGAAATGCTCTCTCCTGACATAGTGAATATTTTAAACTCAAGAAAACCAAAATGCTCAGCTCCCAGGGAAGGAGAATTCTACCTCCCAGCCATAAGTGCATCTAACTGAAAGCTGGAAATGGTTGTCTTTGTAATATATAGCCTTTGTCCATTTCTTTCCTTTTGACTCCAGCTTTCTTAGATGATCAGCAAAGCATCATTCTAGTAAACTGGCTCATGAGGAGATCTGAGGTCATGCAACTACACTTAGAAGAGGAAAATGAACTATGCAATTTGAACAAAACTTACTGAATACCAATTTTAGTCCCTTTTTGGATAAAAACCCAGCCACAATTTATAGGCATGCCACCGATTTTAAATCAAATTCTTAAGCAGTGGAACCTGTGGTTGATATAATATATATTTTCCTGCCTGTCATAGTTATTTATTTGATTAGAATTCCAAAAGACATGGGTTTGGGGCCTCTATGGCTACAGTTTGTTTTCCTGAAAATTTGTGCTCATGAGTACAGTAAACACAAGGGAATCCTTGTGTTTTTTTTCTAGCAAAAATTAAGAAGTGGCAGTAGGAAATAAGATTAAATACATAGCAGATACTTAATAAATAATTAATTGATAAATATATATATGTATAAAACAATACAGTTTTTCTACAACATGATTTCAGCTATTATTTTGCAAGGTTGTTTTGAAATTTTTTAATGTATTTTTTGTAATGTATTTTAATGTATTTTTTAAAAGAATTTTATCCTGTATCCTTAGCCTGAAAACTTACCAATATTTTTTTTGTGTGTGAGATAAATAAGTTCCTAATGACATTTTCAGAAAGATTGAGGCTGTGAAAACAGCCATGTGTATGTCTATAGGTAAAGGGCCACATGAAGAAGGTAGAATGACCCATAAAAGGCTACGGAATGACTAAATGACAGGATTTTATACTTTGTATTAAGAATTAATATGGAGTAATCATTTTCCACTAGAATAATTCCAGAAGGATGCCATTTAAGCAAAAGTTTGGGGTTAAGTGGGTACCTGAAACAGTTTCAATATTTTGACTTCTGACCTTTTGACCCTCTTGAAGACTGTTCATTAGAATCTAGATTTTTTTTGACCAAGATGCTGGTCCAATAATAGTGCCCCTATAAGAAGTCAGGATTCTTTTTTACATAACTTTCTGTTTCCCTCATATAGATCAGAATTTTTCAATTAAACTCCTATTTAATTTTTCTCTTCCCTTTAGAATACTAAACAGAGTATTGTTTTCTGATTCTTCTTAATTGTTCTCTTTTTTCTGATCCAAATCAATTGAAACATCATAACAGCCTCAAAATTAATTACACGATTTCCCCTCTGCTTAGATAGATATATACACATCTCAGAATATGATGACTGCATTCATATTACTAATTACTCATGAAACCATTTGATGGCTGTGTGTCTGCACCGGCCCAAGTGAAAGAGCCTCCTTTAGTTGGTGGTTGTTTTGTTTAAAGTGGGGAAAAAAGCACAATAGAAAGGCATCGATAATTTGGGTTTTCTGTGACTGAACAGACTCTACTCAGCCTTTTGCCTTACTAACTCAAATTTGTGTTTGGAAAAAAAAAAAAACTAACTAAAAAAAGCTCTACTTTGTGTAAAGAGAAGCCAAACGTTTGACTCTAGAGAGCAATTGTTATCTGGAAGGGAGAGCTGAACAGTTTCCATCCAATCAGGAAGGAAGGTAAGACCTACCTTTCAATAGACCTGACATCTATAATAAGCAGAATATAGACTCACTAGAAATTACTCCAAAAGCCTCTCTTCCTTGTTTCACTTTTCCCCCCCATATGAAGCAAAAAATCCATGAAACGTGAACTTTTTAAAAATTAATTTATTTGTTTTAATTGGAGGCAAATTACTTTACAATATTGTAGTGGTTTTTGCCATACATTGACATGAATCCACCCTGGGTGCACATGTGTCCCCCATCCCAAACCCCCTCCCACCTCCCTCCCCACCCCATCCCTCTGGGTCATCCAGTGCACCAGCCCTGACCACCCTGCCTCATGCATCAAACCTGGACTGGTGATACGTTTCACATATGATAATATACATGTTTCAATGCTATTCTCTCAAATCATCCCACCCTCACCGTCTCCCACAGAGTCCAAAACTCTGTCCTTTTTATCTGTGTCTCTTTTGCTGTCTCGCATATAGGGTCATCGTTACCTTCTTTCTAAAGTCCATATATATGTGTTAATATACTGTATTGGTGTTTCTCTTTCTGACTTACTTCACTCTGTAAAAATAGGCTCCAGGTTCATCCACCTCATTAGAACTGACTCAAACGTGTTATTTTTAATAGCTGAGTAATATTCCA